TATACTTTTTATTTCGTTAATCTCTAAATAAACGTACAGTGGTACTTGTAATGGAAACCCCAACTCGAACGAGACATTAGAAGATTTTGGTTTCATTTGTTTAATCGCATTCTGATTAAGCTAGCATAAGAAAGAACCAACCTAAGGACAGGTGTGTGGTGTTCGCTTCTTATCCTTTAATTCAATTCCCACTTAGGCCAGCCACTGCCTGCCCCTTTGAATCTTGGTCTTTCTTGCAAGGCTTCTTAATTACTATTATAATATGGGCAAATCTTTAAAATGGGTATTTAAATAAGGAAGATAATAAATGGACAATTTTTATTATACCATTATTTTTATACGAGCTTATAAGTCATTCAATGATTCATTCTTTTTTTTTTTTTTTTTAACATAGTGATTCATTCTTTTTACATTAGTGAAATTCATAATATTGAATAAATTTACTAATTTAATGTCATATTTTGTAAATAAAAGTTGTACAAATAAATTATTTACATATCATTAACCTTTGAATAAAAGTATTTGTAATTGTATTCTAAATAATAATTAATCACCCTTTAGAAGATAATCTCTCTTAAGCCATTATCCTACTATAAATTACTACTCGTCCTGTGAACAAGGATTTATTTATCTACTAGTATAAATTATTGGGCAATTGAACCTTATCTTTTGCATTGTTTAATGTAAACGTATAAAAAGAATCATACTAGTAGTATAAAACAGGTGTACGAAAAAGCACCCATTTGCAAAAAGGCTACTATATCCCAAATCTTATCAGACAGCACTAAGGTTCAGGAAATGATTAATCTCGTATGCACCTTATTAAAATTAAAAATAAAAACCAATAATTTTATTATGTATTTGGTTTAAGAGTTTATTTAATTTATATCTTAAGATATAAGTTAATGGAATGTTAAAAGCATTTTTAATGTATTAAATTACATAAAAAAAATAAAAAGATTATATTAATTTTAACATTTATCACATATAAATATTTTTTATTAGATAATTAATAAATTTAATATCAATTTTTTAATTTTATTATCAATATTAATAATAAAAAAATATAATAAATATACCTTTAAAGGTACATATAAAAAATCCCTAACTTTAATAATGAAAAGATTGGGTTGCTTGGCACTAGTTGTGTTTGGTGGAGCATTTTGCATGTAGGGGCAGGGCATGAAATTGCGGCAGGGACAGGGCATGAAATTGAATGTCCTGCTTAACTGCTTTCCTTCTGAAGGCTGCCATTACTTTGAGGGAAGAAAGGGACTGCCACAGTCCACTGAAAAAGACCTTAAATCAATCTCCTCTTATGTGACCTCTCCTTTTCGTTAATTAGTAATAATTAAATACAATATGTACATCATGCATGATTTGCAACTTCCGATTTAGTATTCACAACTAGTGAATATGCTTCATTCATTTCCCTCCAAAATTTATTAAGTCATCCATGTTAATATTTAAACAAAGAGCTTGAATTTTGAATATGCTTTTTGTGCGAGCATGGTGGACTGGATTGGACTGGAGGAGGCCTAGCTAGTCTAGTAGGATCAAACACAAAATTCCTTAATTTTTTTATGTTATATATGTTGGATTATTGTCCCACACCTTGATGCTTTTGGTTCGTACTTCTCATGACAGATGGACGTACATGATATGATTTCATACAATTAAATTCAAAAATATGAGTGTGGTTATAGTCATTAATTTATTTATTAAAGTCATTAAAATTACATTTAATTTAATTGATAATTATAAAAAAAATTTAAATAATTATTATAATTACAAATAATAATTTATAAATTAATTTAA